ACGCCCCTGAGGTTCCTCACTGCACCCAGTAGACACGCCCCTGCACCCATAGCCACGCCCCTGAGGTTCTGCACTGCAACCAGTAACCACGCCCCTGCACCCAATAGCCACGCCCCTGCACCCGTAGCCACGCCCCTGAGGCGCCTCACTGCACCTGGTAACCACGCCCCTGCACCCGTAGCCACGCCCCTGAGGTGCCCCACTGCACCCAGTAGCCACGCCCCTGCACCCGTAGCCACGCCCCTGAGGCGCCCCACTGCACCCGGTAGCCACGCCCCTGCGGTTTCCCCTCTGCACCCAGTAGCCTCGCCCCTGCAGTTCCCCTCTGCACCCAGTAGCCGCGCCCCTGCATGCCTATAGCCACGCCCCGGTGGTTCCCACCCGCAGACGCTTAGCAGCTCGCCCCTCCCACTCTGTAGTTGTGCCCCAGCCCTTAGTCCCATCGCCCCCAAACCCTCAGCTGAGTGCCTGCCGTGCCTCCCCTATTTTATAGCTGCTGTCTGGCGGTTCTCCCCTGCACCCCTCTAGGCACCCCGGGTCCAGCCCCCACTGTCTCCCCGACCCACATGGTTGCACCCCCCTGGCGCCCCTGTTGTCGCCCCCTGCGCCCCCTAACTGTTCCCGCCCCTGCCCTCACGCTCTCCCGCTTCCCCATAGCTGCACCTGTGCGGTTCCTCAGGGAGCTGCAGGCCCAGGAGGTGGACGAGGGAGCCACGGCGCGCCTGCACTGCGAGCTGAGCCGGGAGGGCGCCAGCGTGGAGTGGCGCAAGGGTTCCCTGCAGCTCTTCCCCTGCGCCAAGTACCAGATGGTGCAGGAGGGAAGGACCGCCGAGCTGCTGGTGCGTGGTGCAGAGCAGGAGGACGCCGGCCACTACACCTGTGACGCTGGCCACACGCAGAGCACTGCCAGCCTCTCTGTCCGAGGTGAGCGGCCCCGCAGCCCCTCGCCCTCCATGGGGCCCTCCGTCCCCCAGCGGCCGGCGCCCTGCTCGTCGGCCCTAAGCGCCCCTCCCTGGCCCCCCAGGCCCCAGGCCCACATTCCAGGAGGAGCTGCGGAGCACGGAGCAGGAGGCGGGCGGTGTGGCCCGGCTTCGCTGCCAGCTGAGCGAGGCAGAGCCCGGAGTCCCAGTGCAGTGGCTCAAGGAGGGTGTGGAGCTGCACGGGAGCCCCAAATACGAGATGAGGCGCCTGGGGACCACATGCGAGCTGCTGATCCACGGGCTGGAGGCCAAGGACACGGGCGAGTACGTCTGCGTGGCCGGTGGTCAGAAAACCGTGGCTTCTGTCATGGTCAAAGGTGAGCCCTTCCTGCCACACCCTCTGCCCCGGTGGCTGCCCTGGGGGTGCACCTGGCCTGGCCCAGCTCCCATTAAGGCCGAGCCCTTGTCTGGGCGTCGTTCTCAGGGCCCTGGGGTCATAGGCTCTGTCTTCTCCTTTCCGCTCCACTCTGGTGCAGGTGCTCCTGGAGAGGAGTGTTCACAGTGGGAAACACGCTGCACCCCCCAGCACTGCCCTGCGTCCCACCCCCGGCCGTCAGGAGCCCTGGGCTGCCTTAAAGGGCTTGCCTCCCGGCTGTCCTGGCCAGGGCAGGGCTGGCCGCAGGGTGGGGATGGACAGAGGCAGCCCAGCACCCCCCAAGTGCTCACGTTCCTTCCAAACAGAGGTGCCCCCAGCCCAGTCTCTGCCCCTAGGAGTCGGGTGTCGTGGTGGCAAATGTGTGGGGCACATAGAGGCTGGGGCAAGAGAAGACTGTGAGGGTGTTCAGGAAGGCTTCCTGGAGGAGGAGGAGTGGGAGGTTGGCTTGGGTGCTCTGACCTGGCTGGTAAAGGGATCTCTCACCTACACCCCAGAGCCAGAGGTGACCATTGTGCGGGGTCTGGTGGATGCTGAGGCGCAGGTCGACGGGGACGTGGAGTTCACCTGCGAGGTGTCACGGGATGGGGTCGCGGAGGTGGAGTGGCGCCTCCAGGGCCTGCCCTTGCAGAGCAACGAGGTGACGGAGGTGTCCGTGCGGGGTGGCTGCACCCACATGCTCCGGCTGAAGGGCGTGACACCCGAGGATGCAGGCACAGTCTCCTTCCACGTGGGCGTCCACACGTCCTCTGCGCAGCTCACTGTCCAAGGTAGTGGGGCCGGGCAGGCTCACTGCACTCGGCTGGAAGGTCCGGGCCCTCTGTGGGCCAGACACAGATCTCTGGATCCCTGCCTTCGGGGGTGGGGAACTGGTGGGGAGGTGGCCCTGTGAGTGGGCGATTCTGGGATGGCCAAGACATGATGGAGTGGGGCCTCCCGTGCTTGTCCTCAGGAATTGGGGTGGGGTGCTGGGGCAGACCCTGGGGTCTGGGGCAGACCCTGGGGTCTGGGACGCACTCCTGACCTGGAGACCGACGCTGCGTCTCCCTCTGTGCAGTCCCTGAGGTGACCATCATGGAGCCCCTGCAGGACCTGCAGCTCAGCGAGGGCCAGGACGCCCACTTCCGGTGCCAGCTGTCCAGGGCCTCTGGCCAGGGGGCCCGCTGGGCCCTGGGAGGGGTGCCCCTGCAGGCCAATGAGATGAACGACATCACTGTGGAGCACGGCACGCTCCACCTCCTCACCCTGCACAAGGTGGTCTCCCTGGGACCTGTCCCCAGCCACAGTGCTCCCGGGGGTGCGGGTGAGGGAAGGTCCCAACTCCAGCCGGACTGGGCTGGGGGCCTGCGGAGATGGTGGGAGCAGGGCTGCCAGGCTGAGACCCCCTCTCTCCTTCAGGTGACCCTGGAGGATGCTGGAACCATCAGTTTCCAAGTGGGCTCGTGTAGCTCGGAGGCCCAGTTAAAGGTCACAGGTGGGAGCCCCCTCCCCTAACCAGCGCCTTGCCTGTGGGTGTCTGTATTTCCCTACTCAGGGAGGTATTTGGGTGTGGTGTGACCAGAAACCCAAGCCTTCCAGAGGCGATCTTGCCTTGGGTTGGCGAAGTTCCACTGCTTGGTGGCTAAAGCCACAGACCAGAAAGCCCAATGAGATGGACCAGTGCAGGTCAGCTTGAGACGTTCTGGTGTGTGTGGGATCCCAGTATGAGATGAGTGCTGTTCACAGGAGGGAGGTGGGGAGGCTGGCTGCTGTGGGCCTGGGCCCTGCGGTGGAGGCAGGGCCTTTTCCACCCTCCAAATGACTACTCTTGTGACGCCAGTCCCTGTGCTCATGTCTACACTGATACACAGCTGTGCCTCCAGCAGATTTCCAAGTCTTGATGCAGCAGCACAACTATGATGCATGTAGGTTTAGACAAGAGCATACGAGTCTCCAGGCCTGTAGGCAGGATCTGAAGACTTTCAGCTTGGTTTATACTTTGTCCCCAGAGCTGGTCATCTCTGAGCCTTACCCTGGGAGCATCTCCTGTTCTGTCCTACTCCTGGTTTTCAAGCTGATCCCATGCATCTCACCACCCATCCACATCCATCATTCTGTATATATCCATCCACTCATCCATCCACCACCCATCTCTCTGTATATCTACTTATTATCTGTTCATCCCTTTATCCACCATGTACCCATCTACCGTTCATCCACCCACCACCCATCTATCCATTTGTTCATTTACTGTCCATCTATTTATCTATCATCCATCCACTCATCCATCCATCCATCCATCCATCCATCCATCCATCCATCCATCTGCTCATCCACCCATCTACTATCTATCCATTCACATTCATCTATCCATCTACTGCTCATCCATCCACCAGTCATCCATCCATCTGCTCATTCACCATCCATCAATCCACCATCTATCTGTTCACCATCCATCCATCCATCTACTGCTCATCCATCCACCATCCATCCATGTGTCCATCCACCATCTACCATCTATCCATCCACACATCCATTCACTTCCCATCCATCTGTCCACCCCATCCATCCACCATCTATCCACCCATTCATCCATCCATCCATCCATTCACTTGCCATCCATCTGTCCACCCACATCCATCCATGTGTCCATCTATCCACCCACCATCTATCCATCCACCATTCATTCATCCACCCACCATCCATCCATCCATCTGTTCACTTGCCATACATCTGTCCACCCACCATCCATCCATGTGTCCATCCATCCACCCCCCATCTATCTTACCATCTACTTAGAGAGGGGACAGATGCAGCTTTGCCCTCAGGGAGTCCCCAGTCTGGTGTTGGAGTTGGACATAGAGATAGAGACAGAGTGTGTCCTGAATCTCAGGTCCCCTCTCCTCCTCCACCAAATTTTCAGAAGGTGGACAGACAGAGTCAGCTCTGGGAACTGTGGGGCTGGGTAAGGCTCCAGAGTGCAGTGCCCTCAAGTTGAGTGATGGGAGAGGGGTAGGATCCTGGTTGTCCTGAGCAAAATGGGTCCAGTAAGGGCCGTGTGTTTATCAGGGTGGGCATCTGTGAGGGGGCAGCATGGGACTGGGTTGGGCCTTGCAGGCTATACCGAGGGCTGTGTGTCTTGGCCCCTCTTGGCCTGGTGTCCCCAGTTGGAGTGTGCTGTCTCATGTACAGATACCTGGCCATGGCTTTGTGGGGAGGGCTGTGAGCATGGGGGTGTGCGAATGGGTGTCCTGTTAGGTGGCATATGGATGAACTCGGGAACTCTGCTGGAGATGGGAATGCGGAGCTAATGGGGTAGGGTGGGGATGCAGTCAAGTGTGCACTTTTGGGAGAGGGTGGACAGGCAGGTGGGGCTAGGGCGTCAATGGTGCACCCCCGGGATGGGCATGGAGGGCCTTCTGGGGGAAGGGCCAGCCATGGTGGGTACAGGGGTACAGAGCAGTGGGAAGGGCCTGGGTTCAGGCCCCACTGTGTGACATGTGGCGTTAGGGCCAGGGAATCTTAGGGCTGGAGGGACCTGAGGGCACATCTGCACAAATGGAATTCTGGGGATGGGAGAGACACCTGCTTCCACACCTCCAGGAATGGAGGGCTTACCTCCCAAGGGAGATCCCACACCGTATCAGAGCATTGGGCCCCATGGCTTCTCCTCCTCACCCCACACCCACCCCACAAAGATCACAGTTTTGGGGCTTGGAGACTGTGTGTTGTGCCTTCTGAAAAGGGCATGGAGGCAGGTCATCAGTCTCCTTTGGTGCAAGTGGACGTATTCCAATGGGGGTGTCGGGTGCAGGGGGGCTGAGCTGGCCCTCCACGGGCTTGCCATGGGTGGTCTCTGTATCTCATTCTGCAAGCAAGGCGGGCCGGCTGGCCTGGGTGGATCTGTAGACTCAGACCCCAGGCTGGCCCCACAGACCCAGGGTGCCCAGCGCCCTTCCTTTTGCCCTCTTGTGCAGAGGCAGCACCATGCCTGGTACGTGGCTTGCAGAACGTGGACGTCTTTGCGGGGGAGGTGGCCACGTTCTCCTGTGAGGTGTCCCGCGCGGGTGGGCCGGAGGCCCGCTGGTGGCTGGATGGCACCCTGCTGCAGGATGGCCCCCAGAGCGCCATCTCCGTGCGCGGCGGGACCCTCCACTCCCTCACACTCTCGGGCCTGGGGGTTGCTGACTCAGGCACCATCACCTACCGCGCAGGGCCCCTGGTCTCCACGGCCAAGTTGTTGGTCAAAGGTATTGGCCGACGGGACCTGCCCCGGGCTGGGGCTTCTGCACCTGCTGACTCGGCATGCTTGCTGCGGGCTCCCTGGGCGGCGGGTCTGGGGCTGGCCCCAGGACACGGACGGGGCAGGCACCGTGGGAGGTCTGCTATCCTGATTTGTGGAATTTGTGGAAGAGAGTGGTGAAGCTGCAAGCCCACCGCCTCCACCCACCTGTAGGGCCACGCCCTGCTTCCTGCCTGGGCCACCACGCTGTGGGGCACCTGAGGGCAGCCAGGAGGCGAGAGCCCCCTTCCTGGAGCTGGCCGAGGCGGCACTGTCCCTGCCCGCAGCTGCTTCCCTTGCTGCGGGCTCAGCTGAGGTCTTGTGCCCTTCTGGGAGAGAGCTAGCCTTTGGGGAGGGACACCGGTGGGGGTGTCAGGCACTTCTGGGACGGCTGGCCAGCAAGGCTTCGCCTGGCACCCTGGTCCTCCTCTGTGCTTCTGCAGAATTAACGGGCCATTCACCCGCATCCCAGGGGCGACCCATTTGTTGAGTAGGATGTCAGCAGGCCAAGATGGGGTGGGGACCCCAAGGAGGCCGGCGAGGCCCCTGGAGAAGGGACAAGCTGGGCTGGGGGTGCCACGTGCCCAGCAGAGGCCTGGGGGCTTTGAGGACAGGTGTCATGTCCCTGCTGAGGCAAAGGGGGTGGGGAGGGAGGCAGGGGCTTAGGGGACAAGATGGGTGAGGAAGGGCCTAGCCCCGACGAGGCCGAGCCAACAGTGCCGTCCTCGCGGGTGGTGGTGTGGGGGGCAAGGCTTGCCCTGCGAAGAGGGCCCCGGGCCGCCGGGGCAGGTGCCCCTCCCGCCACAGCCCCGCGCTTGCTTGCTGCTGAGCCGCTGAGACCAGAGGGCGGGTGGGGTGCAGCCACGTGGCCCCAGCTGACGCGTGACCGGGGTGTCGGCCGACAGATCCCACGGTGGAAGTGGTCAGTGCCATGCAGGACCTGGTGGTGGAGGAGGGCGGCCGGGCCGAGCTCCTCTGCCAGTACTCGCGGCCGGTGCAGGCCACGTGGAAGATGGACGAGCAGGAGGTGCGGGCCGACGGGCGCCGTGTCATCATAGAGCAGGACTGGACCGTGGCCAGGCTGTCCTTCCAGCCGGCCTTGCCTTACGACAGTGGCATCTATTCTTGCGAGGCTGCAGGCACCCGGGTGGTGGCCCTGCTGCATGTGCAAGGTGAGGCCTGCCCGGCCCTGGCCTGGCTGGGACCGTCCTTTGTGGTGCAGAGGCAGGTGGGGACGGCCAGCGCCCTGTGACCATGTGGCCCTGCCACAAAGACAGGGTCCGGCGGGCAGACCCCCTCTGCTCCCAGAGCAGCCTGGCAGGACAGGACGGGGTGCTGGGCTGAGCTCCTCGAGTCCCGGGATCTTAGCCACGCTCCTGTCCGGGTCGGCCACCCAGCAGGCTCTCGAGCCCTGTGTCCCCGTCCGCGGCACGGCAAGGACACTCTCTGGGAACCAGGGGTGGGGGGCGGTGGACGGCAGCCCCTGTTGCATCTCTTGGCTGCTGCCACGTTCTATTTAGGAAAATCTGAACCCCTCCCCGTGGTGAGTGAGCTGGAGGCTGCAGGCAGTGGTCAGGGGGCCACCTGCCGCGTGGTGCGCCCACTGTTTCACTCTTGAAAGATCTGAGTTGTTAAAACGCTGTGTTTTTGGTTCCCAGAGGCACAGCTCCGAACAGACAGCAAGCCCTCTGTGCAGCGACCATCGCTGTGGGGGCTGAAGGCAGGGGTGAGAGCTGATAGCTGGAGATGGGGATGCACTTCTAAGCCCCCTCTAGTGCCACTGATTCTGATGTGGGGAGGAAAGGGGACGGGCTGTGGGGATGTCTGGTCTGTGGGGCGAGCAGCCCAGGGCCGGGAAGGTGACCAGAAGAAGGACATGGACAGGTCCTCTGGGTACTCTGCTCTGCCCCTTTCCCTCCCTGGGACTCCTTGTCCATAGCGGGCACCCTTGCCCGCAGGGCACATGGACTCTGTGGACAAGCTGGGATTGACCACGAGGGCTGTGAACAGGTTTCATTTGGGTGTGTACCCCAGAGAGCAGTTGGGGCCGTGCGCCTGGCTGCCCCCACCCCCCATCCCTCAGGTCGGCGTCTGAAGTCATGTGAGTCAAGGTCACACCCTTCCCAGCATCCAGGCCAGCCCTGGCTCACCTGGCGCTCCTTTCCGGCCTGACATGCACCCCCCTCCCAGGACCCCACCTGGCGCCTTGCATCCCTTACTCTGCTGGCCAAGTCCCCGCTGGCCCTCATGAACCCCTCCTTCCTTCCCATCCTGGTGTCCCTTCTTGTCGCTGCTCCTGCCCAGCTCAGTCATGCCCATTCTGAGGTTCCTCCTCCTCCTGGAAGCCCACTCAGACTGTTCCTATGGGCATCACCTGCCCAACAGGTGGTGTGTTGTGGGAATGGGCCGTGGCAGGGGGCAAGCAGTGCGGCCAGGCATGCCCAGTCCTGAGCTCGTGGCTCACACACACACAAACTCGTGTGCACTTATTAAGACTGGTGTTGTGTGTGCATGAGAGAACGAGAGGGGTGGGGATTTAGGGCAGAGGTCTGTCTGGTCTGGGGAGTGAGCGGAGCAGCTCAGCAGGGCTGATAGCTCTGGCCGGGGGCATTTCCAGAGCCCCATGCGCAGCCTAGGGTGGGGGAGGGCGGGGGGTTGAGCCTGGCTGTGCGTTAGGCAGCTGCGGGACCACCTGGGAGGCTTCTCACCTGTCTGGTGGTGGAGCACCCCCCTCCCTGGCCACGAGCGAAGGCCACCAGAGCAGTGAAGACATGGGAGTGGGCAGGGCGTCAGGAGGCCCCCATGGCGCCCCACGTGGACACTGTGCGCTGCCCTCCACTGGGCCGCGTTCTGTTTAGCCCTCGGGCCCTGTGCAATGACGGGGAGGCTCTCCCACGCGGCTGCGCAGGGATCCCTGAGCGGCCTCCTTCCCCGCAGCCAAGAACAGCGTGGTGCGCGGCCTGGAGAACGTGGACGCCCTGGAAGGCGGCGAGGCGCTGTTCGAGTGCCGGCTGTCGCGCCCCGAGGTGGCCGCCCACACCTGGCTGCGGGACGACGAGCCCGTGCAGACCTCCGAGAACGCGGAGGTGGTCTACTTGGAGAACGGCCTGCGGCACCTGCTGCTACTTAAGAACCTGCGGGTGCAGGACACCTGCCGGGTGACCTTCCTGGCTGGGGGCGTGGTGACGTCCGCGTTCCTCACAGTCAGAGGTTAGGGCTGGGGGGGGAAGGGGCATGTGTCTGAGACCCCTCCCACCGCTGCCGCGCCACAACTGTGTGGCGGGGGCGGGCTGGGGCCGCAGGGTGGGGCCAGGTCTCTGAGACAACCCCCCCCCCAGGACCCCGCGCCCTGGAGGTGCAGGGCCGCGGTCTGCTCTCCTCCGCCGGGGGCGGGGGGCGGGGCTGGAGGGACCTGGAGGCACAGAGGTCTCCCAGCCGTGCCTCCAGGCCGGCCCTGCGCCCGCGCGCTCACCGCACCGCCCCCGCCCGCAGGCTGGCGCCTGGACGTGCTGGAGCCGCCGCGGGACGCCGCGGTGCGAGCCGGTGGGCGGGCCAGCTTTGGCTGCACGCTCAGCGAGGCGGTGTCGGTGGGCGAGGCGACCTGGTACATCAACGGGGCCGCCGTGCAGCCGGACGACCCCGACTGGATGGTCACCGCAGACGGCAGCCACCACACCTTGCTGCTGCGCGCTGCCCAGCCGCACCACGCTGGCGAGGTCACCTTCGCCGCCCGCGACGCCGTGGCCTCCGCGCGGCTCACCGTGTTGGGTGGGTGGCTCGGCCGCCTGCTGCAGGTCGGGGCTGGGGCTCTGCTGTTCCCGTCCCAGAGGCTGCCGGAGCCTCTCCGTGGCCCCCGTCCAGGTGGGCTCGGGGCACACAGTCTCCCTTTGCTCTCTCAGACGGGCTTGGCCCAGAGCGCAGTGGCTCACGGGCCTTGGGGGCGGATGGCCTGGCGCCCACTCCGCACCCCAGGATCAGACCCCAAGCAAGCAGGCTGGGCACGCGCGGGCGCCGACGGGGAGCCTCCACTGACCAGCCCCTCTCCCTGCAGGCGTCCCGGACCCCCCAGAGGACGCTGAGGTGGTGGCGCGAAGCGGCCGCTCGGTGACGCTGTCATGGGTGGCCCCTGCAAGCGACGGCGGCGGCGGTCTCTGTGGCTATCGGGTGGAGCTGAAGGCGGCCTCCACGGGCGAGTGGCGGCTGTGCCACGAACTGGTGCCCGGGCCCGAGTGCGTGGTGGACGGCCTGGCCCCGGGGGAGACCTACCGCTTCCGCGTGGCGGCTGTAGGCCCGGCGGGGGCTGGGGAGCCGGTGTACCTGCCGCAGACAGTTAGGCTCGGTGAGGCGCTGCGCTCCCCACGGTTGGTGAGGGTGAGGTCTGCCCGGAGTGCTCCCCAGGCTGGAGGGCCCCGGGCACGCCTTGCTGAAGTGGCGTTGTTCCCCGCAGAGCCCCAGGAGCCTGAGCCTGGGCCCCCGGCTCCCGCGCCCCCCGCTCCTGCGCCCCCGGCTCCCGCACGCCCCGCTCCCGCGCCCCCGGCTCCCGCGACCCCAGCTCCCGAGAGCCGGCAGGTGGCTGCCGGCGAGGACGTGTGTCTGGAGTGCGAGGTGGCCGAGGCGGGTGAGGTCGTCTGGCTGAAGGGGACGGAGCTCATCCAACCGAGCGGGCGCTTCCAGGTTCTCTGCCGGGCTCAGCGGCAGACGCTGGTCATCCGGGGCTTCTCCGCGGAGGACCAGGGCGAGTACCGCTGCCGCCTCGCCCAGGACCCCAACTCCTCTGCAGCTGCCTCCTTCCAGGGTGCGTTCTGGGGACCCAGCGAAGGCGGGAGAGCCCTGGGGTGTGGGAGTGAGCCGGCCCCTCCTCTTCATCAGCTCCAGCACAGACAGGCAGGGGTCCTCTTGGGGAGCCGGCCTCAAGACGGAGGCCTGGTGGGGCCCTGTGGCTCGGCTTCTTTGGACGGCTGGCAGCTCACATCACACTGGTCCCCAAGCAGGACGCTGACCAACACATCTCTTGGTACCACTGCTGGTCCCTTGAGTTCTCTGGTCCCTGCCCTCGTAGCCTCCTCCCCCGTGCCTTCTGAGTCCCCCACTCTGTGCTCGGACCCCACCCTGCGAGCCCCCACTCTGAATCACTCCCCCCTGAACTCATGCCCCCACACTATAAGGTGCCCCATGCTCTGTGCTCTGAGCCCCGCATTATGAGCATCCCCGTTCTGACCCTCTCCACTCTGTGCTCGAGCCCCCCACATTATGAATCCCTCCCACTACCAGTCTCCCCACTCTGACCCCCTCCTCCCTGCACTCTGAGCCCCCCAGTTCTGACCCCCTTCACCCTGTGCTCTGAACCCCCTCACACTATGAGCCTGCACTTGCACTGACTCTGGCCCTATCCTTGGGCTCACTCCTCCTCTGCAGGTGCTTGATGTAGGTTGAGGTCTGGCTTCATCAGGGGAAGCTGAGGCTGACAAGGCAGTTCAGAACCTCTAAAACCTCGTTTTTGGGGGGCCTTCAGAGCTCTCTGGTCTACTGAGGGGAACCACAGTCAGAGCCTAGGCCAGCCTGGGGTCAAGGGTTTGTCAACCCCCACCCACCTGCTGACCAGTCTCCTGTCCTTCTCAGTGGTGCTGACCCCAGGATCTGGGGATGAGGCCCCTGCACAGCCCAGCCTCCCCCCTGAGGCAGCCCAGGAGGGTGACCTGCACCTGCTGTGGGAGGCCCTGGCCCGGAAGCGCCGCATGAGCCGTGAGCCCACGCTGGACTCCATCAGTGAGCTGCCTGAGGAGGACGGTCGGTCGCGGTGCCTGCGGCATGAGCCAGAGGAAGCAGCCCGTGACCTCTCTGAGGACTACTCCACAGCTGATGAGCTGGCACGTTCCGGCGAGGCCGACCTCTCACACACCAGCTCTGATGACGAGTCCCGGACAGGCACTCCTTCCCTGGTTACCTACCTCAAGAAGGCTGGGCGGCCCAGCACCTCACCACTGGTCAGCAAGGTGAGTGTCCAGTGTGGCCTGCAAGGAGAGGCCTGGATGTCTCAGATCTTCACCACCCATCCACCATCCACCCACTCACTGCTCCATCGTCTGTCCGTTTGCTACCCACTGATACAGCCACCCATCCACTCGCTATCCATCTGCCATCCGTTGTCCGTCCACGCCATCATCCACCACTCACCCATCCATCCACCCATCCACCATTCACCCACCCACCACCCACTCATCCACCATCCATCCATCTACTACCCACCTATCAACCCACCCATCCACCACCATTCACTCACCGATCCATCCACCATCCAGCCGCCCACCCACCCATCCACCCATCACCCATCCATCCACCACCCACTCATCTACCATCCATCCACCACCCACCTATCAACCCACCTATCCATCACCATTCACTTACCCGTCTACCATC